ACAAGATTGAACATTCAATAATTAATACTGCAATACATTCTATTCCTAACAAAAAAACTCGTAAACACAGCTACAATCATCAATATTCCTCTAACTCTACTTTAATCTACATATCACTCAAAGAGCTTGAGCATTTAATAAAAATTGTTAAAAACACTCACAACAACCTCAACATAAACATAATAAACTCTAGAATTAAGTCTATTAATGATAGATCCTATTGTGACCTTTAAACTCTAGACCCAAATGATAATTCTCAAATTCATGCATGGATTCAATATGCACAAGATATCTGAAAACAACTTTATCATACTTGTCATATAGAAAACTCATTATTACTTCATTAACAAATCCAACAAGCAACAGAAAAAAGATGCAAAACACTTTCTGCACATCCTAAACAAGCTATTAACAGTATTCTTAACTGATACAAAGCTCTTATACACTTTTTCAACATCAAACTCCCTGACTAACTTATTACAGACCTTAAGCTTATAAAACAGCATATATAATTTCATTTCTATGACTGAACTGCATATCAACCAACTGACCAAGCACTGTTTGACAGCTTTTGGCATACATATTATCAACTATAACCACATATTAATATCCAATAGTACAACTCTCTTAACTCTCCTATTACAGAAGATGAAGTACTTCAAATCTTGTCACAACTCCTAAATGGAAAAGCCTGTGGACCCACAGGCATCAGCTATGAAATGCTTAAACATAAAGATACTACTTGCATTAAAGCTATTACAGCTCTACTCAATTGTTGCTTTAATTCAAGCCAAATCCCCAAACAATAAAAACATAGTAGAATTTATCTGATTCCAAAATGTAATACATTTAATGGTAATCTAAGCCTTACTCACCCTATTAGTCTTATCAAACATATTTGAAAAGTCTATACAAAAATTATTACTACTAAAATCAGTACTGTGTTTTCTCAACATCCAATACTTTTACCTTACAACTATATAGCTCTACCTAATAATAACATATCTATACTAATTCATATACTTAATAACCTTATTAAAGATGCATCATGCAACAACAAACCAATTTGGCTCTTATTTCAAGATATAAGTAAAGTATATGATTTAGTTAATCTTACTATTTTTCAAAAATCTTTACAACACCTTGCCCTTCCTTATTCTATAATAAATGCTATTACTAACATCCTTTATGATCGACAAAACCAAGTCATTACAAACCTTAGACTTATTTCATCATATCCTGTACATAGTGCTCATCAAAATCGAGTAAAAACTCAATTATCAAGTTTAAGCATCTATCTGTAATACAAATTAGATTTTAAATATTTTATTTATTTTTAGTAAACTAACGAATCAAATATAATGCTTATATTTTATGATCTTGTTTTTATCAGTAATTAATTTAGCAGACAAATGCAGATTACTTTATTTTGAAGTATTTAAAAAAAAGTATTGTTTGCTTTTCTATAACTCATAAATCAGCTATGACTAAGCTATTCGGGTTTGCAGGGATCTTTAGATTAGTAGACAGGTTATAAATCATGATATGTAAGTTGTTTAATTTATTATTTTTTTTTTTTAATTCCTACTACTTATAGTGGTATGTCTTTTTTTCTTTTTGAATTTTGGTTCTTATCAGTCTTTCTTCTGTCAATTATGATGAATCTTTTGGCTTTTCTCATAGTCTTTCTGCTTCTCTTATTCTTCTGGTGATTATGATGGCATATATATATGTTTTTTTTTCTTTTTTTCTTATTAAATTTTAGTTCTTACTGGTCTTCCTTCTGTCAATTATGGTGAATCTTTCAGCTTTTCTCATGGTCTTTCTGCTTCTCTCATTCTTCCGGCGATTATGGTGGTATGTATGTATTTTTTTTCTTATTGAATTTTGGTTCTTACCAGTCTTCCTTTTGTCAATTATAGTGAATCTTCAGCTTCTCTTGTGGTCTTTTTGCTTTTCTCATTCTTTCGGCAATTATGGTGGTATATATATTTTTTTTTCTTTTTTTCTTATTGAATTTTGGTTTTTATCAGTCTTTCTTCTGTCATTTATAGTAGATCTTTCAGCTTTTCTTGTGGTCTTTCTGCTTCTCTCCTTCTGGCAATTATGATGGCATGTATGTATATATTTTTTTTCTTTTTTTATTTTTGAATTTTGGTTCTTACCAGTCTTTCTTCTGTCGATTATAGTGGATCTTTTAGCTTTTCTTGTGGTCTTTCTGCTTCTTTTATTTTTCTGGCGATTATAGTAGTATGTATGTATTTTTTTTTTTTTTTTTCTTTTGAATTTTGGTTTTTACTGGTCTTTCTTCTGTCGATTATAGTGAATCTTTTGACTTCTCTTGTAATCTTTCTGCTTCTCTTCTTCTGGTGATTATGGTGGTATGTATGATTTTTTTTTTTCTTTTTTTATTTTTGAATTTTGGTTCTTACTGGTCTTCTTTCTGTCAATTATAATGAATCTTTCGGCTTTTCTCATAGTCTTTCTGCTTCTTTCATTCTTCTGATAATTATAGTAATATGTATGTTTTTTTTTTTTTCTTATTGAATTTTGGTTCTTACTGGTCTTCCTTCTGTCGATTATGGTGAATCTTTGGCTTTTCTCATAGTCTTCCTGCTTCTCTCATTCTTCTGGTAATTATGGTAGTATTTATGGTGGGTTTTTTTTTTTTCTTATTGAATTTTGGTTCTTACCAGTCTTTGTTCTGTCGATTATAGTGAATCTTTTGGCTTCTTTTGTGGTCTTTCTGCTTCTCTCCTTCTGGCGATTATGGTGGTATGTATATTTTTTTTTTCTTATTGAATTTTGGTTCTTACTGGTCTTCCTTCTGTCGATTATGATGAATCTTTCAGCTTTTCTTGTGGTCTTTCTGCTTTTCTCATTCTTCCAGTAATTATGGTGGTATGTGCTACTTTATACATTTTACATTCTAATACCCTTTTTTGCTTAATAAAACTTTCTTTTAACCGACTAGGTTAAGCATGATATTTATTAATATCGTGATGTTTATTTGGCTCTAAACTAATAAGTCTATTCTATACTAAGGCTAGTTGTAAAACATAATCACATTTTGTGAAGGCTACTATGTGTTAATCGAAAATATCAAAAACTTATTTGTATTCATAAAGTTAACTTTTAGAAGTAGTTATAATTTTTACATTCAAAACGCTAAGAAAATAAATGTAATAGTGATTAAAAAGTAATACATTTATATACTTTTAAATATTAAGAGCTTATTGCTAAATTTAATTATTTATTAATTGTAATATTTTTCAAAATTTGGGTTCTTATATTTAATTATTTTCACTTTGGGCCCTTATATATAATTAATTTCATTTTCTGGACCCTTATATGTAAATTCCTCTAAAATAAACCTTAACTGATATTATACTATTATTATTAATTACTGTTATATTATCCCAAAATAATATCTTACCTAGTGATGGGTGATTATTTGAGAATCGATAACAAATGTTAACTAATTGTCAGTGATAAGAAATTGATCTAAAATACGTAGTTCTAATTATGATAAAATAATTACATAATCAAGAATGATAATTTTTATTTAATGAATTTCTTTGATATAAACAATTATTGAGAGCTTTAAATTCTAAGTTATTATTACTTATTTAACAAAAATTTAAATAGTATTTATTAATAATAAATAATTGTATATAATCAATTTGGCCTATTTCTAATCTTGTTATATAAAACACCTTCTTTGTCATTGAAATTGCTAGATTCGTAATTAGTATCTGATACTATTCAATTTTAAAACTAAAGTTCTGAAGAAATTTCTCACATAATCATTCCAAAAGAATAAATATCTGATGCTGTGGTAAATGATTTTCTATACAAAACTTCTGATGCTATATATGGTAAAACCTTATAAATTCTAGTTTTTGTGTTTAATGTTCTGTTAACCACTGTTGCAAACCCTAAATCACCAATATAAGCATTATATATATTATCTTGAATAAGACCCTTAGTACTATAAGCAGTAGCCAATAGTGAAATATAGCATCAATAATTAGCACTAGCAGAACCCTAATGCTTAGGTAATAAAATTTATACTCTAATTAATATGATCATGAAAGAACCTTGTATAGTATCAATATAGGAACTGCGTTAAATCAATATTAATTTTGTTAATAAAGGAAGACACTGAGTATTATATTCAAATAAGTTAGTTAAATAATTATATTTGTTACCAATTTATTAAATAAAATTATTTTTTCACTTACCAAATATAAACCTATTATTAGGCTTTTAATTATATTTTGTATCAGAAACAATCTTTCTAAATTGTAATTAATACAAAATATAATTGAAGACTGATAACAGGTTTTTCTTGGCAGCACTCAAATGAAAATTGGATTTAAATGAATTCATTCAGAATTCTATCACAATATTTATTTATTTGAAACCTATAAGTTCTATTTCAACATATAACAAATCTAAACTTACAATTTGCTAGAAATGCCAAAACAAGACGAAACAAAAAATTTTTAATATTTTAATTTCTAGTCTGATTGATCTGTCATGACACTGACAAATTATCTTGACTTTTATAAGTGCACTCAAAAATACCAAGCCCTATATATATAAAAAAACACAAGTTCCTATAAGTTAACTACTGTATTAACAGAAAAAAAATTCTAATAATTAAACCTATCAGAAAAATAGCTAACATTGCAATTATATACAGAGACAACTCTTTCTAAAATGAACTTAAGATTCTGGAAAAAAGAAGTTCATTGTAGAAAATTATTATGTTTCGTTAAGAACCTATGAAACTTCTTATACTAAACTATTATGAAATTTCAAATTTTGAGCTTGTTTTATCTGGAGTTCGTTATATCCAGACTTAACTTTAGATATAGTTTATCATTACTAATATGTGCATATTTCAAAAACTCATGGAACATTAAAAAAAAAAGAATTAATATACCCAATTATAATTCTAAATTATTGATTGAGCAGACAACTTGTAATAAGAACTATTTAGCTTCTGTTTCTGTTCAACATTATCGTAGAAAATGATTATAATGATTGCATGGTTGAAATCTATATCTTGGCAAGACCAACAGTCCAATAAACATTCAAATCTCATTGTTTTGGATTATGTTTTATTCACAATTAATTGGACTACAATATCTCCCCTTCGATTTGCTGAAAAACTACCAATATAATCAGAATTACATTTATAGGCAGCTTTACTTATAACAAACTTTGAAAGTCTATTTGTAAAAATTTTCAAATCATTTCTTATTTGCAAATTAATTGGTTCTCGTTTCATGGGACGGGTGAATGGGACCCGGCTAGCAAAAAATGTTATATTTAAAAAATTTTTTAATAAAAAAAAATTTATATATAAAAAAAAAAAATTAGCTCTTATAAAAAAGTCATCTAACCAGGACAAGAACCAATTTTATTTGTTTGCATAGTCTTATTATGTTTTTATACCGAACTCTGATAATTTTGCTAAAAAAAAAAAGGCTTGTTATATCTTGAGCTAACTGTATAATAAAAACACTACTTTATAATATACAGATATACCATCGAATAAAGCCTTTTTTTTGAGAAAATGGGATGATTAACACAATCTTATTTTTTCTTAGTTTACACCTCTACTCTCCTACCTCTCTATCTAGAGTTAATGCCTTTAAGTATAAAAAAATTTTTAATATACCAATTTTATGTAACAATTTTATATCGACATGTAATGTTAAACCTTTGTATTATGTATATGTATTATCATAGCCAATTGATCAATAGCAAATGATTTTAAGAATATATATTTAAAAAAAATTTTAACTACTAAATATACGATTAAAGAAAAAAAAGTACAAAGTTTTTATTATATTTTTTTTAAGCTATCCAGTCACAAAGTGCAATTGCTTTTTGTATGGTTTCTGGATTTAGCGATTCATGTTTTACAGTATCTATGTCTGAACCTTTAGAAAAAAGTCTTTTAGAAGGTGCACTTGTTGCCAGTATGGTGAGATAGTCATGTGTCATACTTGCTAATATTGGAAACTGTTCGGTATGCAAGTACTACTATTTATATATGTCCATTCAAGGGGTGTGGCGACTTAGTGAAGTGGATAAGTTGTCAACCCCCCAAGTGGTAGGTTGTGAGTTCAAAACCCACCGACGGCGAAAATTTGAATAA